TTATAGCTGAGAAGCTCTATGTAGATATTTCTGAATAAGGATTTTATCAATCAAATCCAATTTCTTGTTTAAAACGTTCATTTCTAGAGAAAGAACATTGTAAAAGCTGAAAGCAAGATAAAAATGGCATCCATTAATCTTATTGTTTATAATACCTGTGAGAGGATGTGCACATGGTTGAGTTTATAATTCACATTCACCGTTCATTTGTATTGTGTATGCAGCATATTTTAATAATTTTTTAAATGTAAGGCAAGACTTGCACTGATACTGTATTTTGCTTCCCTATGATTGTCGTATACCCTCTCTCCTTCCACCTAAATAAATCCTCACCCATCAAATGCATGATTACATTTAGATTTTTTAAAAGATTTCTAGCAACAATCTGGACTTCCTCATATGCACTCATTGAAAATGGAAGCTAATGCTGCCCAAGGAGGGAGAGGCGGCATCCCATGCTGCTATGAACAGCATCAGGCCGGGTAGTCAGCACAGTAGGGGCCATTCAGAGTCTTCTCACAGAGGCAGGAAAGAGTCTACCTCGCATTGGCACCTCCCTTTTGCTCTCATTATTGGCTCCTTCCATTAAATGTCTGAGCCCAAACCCAAGTAATAGACTTATCATAATCACTGTGTTCACCGTTTATTATCCAATTACTGTTATTATGTATTATCCTTTATTATCCAATTCCGCTTATGCCCTAGGTTAGGTACATGTGATTTTCCTGGAGATTACACTCAAAGAATCAGGACAAAGGCAAGGACACACACCATGAGTGGCTGAAAGATGTCTTAAATCAACCCAATAGGGTAGTAGATATGCCACTGACTTTGGTGACAGCATAGTTTATTATTACCTGAAATCACATATACTAAAAATGAAATGATTTCCTTCAAGTAGAATGTCATGGAATAAAAAAAGAAGAAAGTTTGGCCAACAGATGGAGGTTCATCTGTGGTCGGCCTGCTGTGTACCCAGCACCATGCTATTTCAGCAAGAGCACGGGCAGCGCGTTTGCCCTCGGTGACTGTGTCCTAGGGAACGCTGCATCTGAGAAACATGACACTCCCAAGTTTTCCCCTTCCTATTCATTCAACAACTGTTTATGGAATGCCTGAGCCAGGCCTGGACTATGCTCTGAGGATACAGTGGTCAATGAAATCAAACTTAATCAAGAACGTAATGAGAGGCCAAGGCAGGCGGATCCTTTGAGCTCAGCCTGAGTAAGAGCAAGACCCCATCTCTGCTAAAAATAGAAAGTACAAGACCAGCCTGAGTAAGAGCAAGACCCCATCTCTGCTAAAAATAGAAAGTTCAAGACCAGCCTGAGTAAGAGCAAGACCCCATTGCTGCTAAAAATAGAAAGAAATTAGCTGGACAACTAAAAACATTTAGAAAAAATTAGCCGGGCATAGTGGCACATGCCTGGAGTCCCAGCTACTTGGGAGGCTGAGGCAGTAGGATCGCTTGAGCCCAGGAGTTTGAGGTCGCTGGGAGCTAGGCTGATGCCACGGCACTCACTCTAGCCTGGGCAACACAGCGAAACACTCCGGCTCAAAAATAAACTAATGACACCACTTGCCCCCTGACTTGCTCCTTCACAGGAAGTGTCTCCACACCTCAGGAGGGACCAAGTGAAGTCTCTGGTTCAGGAGGCCCAGATGGGACCAGGTCTCCATTCTGCTGATTCAAGCGGTAGAGGGAAGGAGAGCCTGGAAAGGCGACATCCTTTGAGCATAGCTGTAGGACTCCACGCCTAGGCACGCAGACGTCAGGACAAACCCCCAGCTCCCATTTGGCTGGGGTGGGCAGACTTCCTGGAAGAGCTGGAATCTCAAGTGCTGTTTAAGCTATGTAGAAAGAAAAGAACATTTTTGCCATCTGTTTAATAAAAACGTCAAGGGAAGTAGTGGAGTTGAGGACTGAATGAAGGTGCCTGTGGACAAATGTGCTTGAAATGCTGTGGGGACCAGTGCTCTCTCCCCTCAGTGTCATGGGCTGAAGTCAGAAGGTGTAGGTGTATGGAGCAGCAGGGGGAGCAAAGGTGGATTTTCTTCATTTCCTGGGAAGAACACGGGTAGGATCAGGACTAAGAGGGTTGTTCCCATGTAATTATTTTGCTAGAGTGGTGACTCACAAAAACAGAGGTAGGATAAAGGCATATCTTGGGCAATCAAGCAGGTGAGCCACATGGAGAACTGTACCACAGGCAGCGAGTATTTGAGATAACAACTGAGGAGTTAGAATTTAGTGGTAGCAAAGAACGTATGTGTGGTGTCCATCCACCCCCAGGCCTTTCCCAGAAACTCAAGAGAAAGGCTTTTGTTTACATACAGCTCAGTCACTGAGGACAGGGGATTCTCAAGAATAAAGGGTTACCCCTACCTCATACCATATACAAAAATTAACTCAAAATAGATCAAAGATTTAAACATAAGGGCTAAAACTCTAAGACTTTTAGAAGAAAATAGAGGGGTAAATCTTCATAACCTTTTTGGATATGGTACCAAAAGTATAAGCAACGAAAGAAAAAGGGATAAATTGGACTTATAATACTAAGTGTAGTTTCCCAAGAATGGAAAAACAAGCACCACATACACTCACCAGCAAACTGGTATTAACTGAGCAGCACCTAAGTGGACACATAGGTACTACAGTAATAGGGTATTGGGCAGGGGGAGGAGGGCAGGTATATACATACATAATGAGTGAGATGTGCACCATCTGGGGGATAGTCATGCTGGAAACTCAGACTTGTGGGGGGAATGGACATTTATTGAAACCTTAAAATCTGTACCCCCATAATATGCCGAAATAAAAAAATAAACTTTTGTGCATCAAAGCACACAGCCAACATAGTGAAAAGGCAACCTATGGAATAGGAGAAAATATTTGTAAATCATGTATCTGATAAAGGATTAATATCCAGAATGTATAAAGAATTCCTACAACTTAACAACAGGAAAACAAAAAAAAACCAATTTAAAAATGGAAAAGGCCTTGAATAGATATTTCTCCAAAGAAGATATTCATATGGCCAAAAACCACATTAAAAGGTGTGCAACATCACTAATCATTAGGGAAATGCAAATAAGTTCACATCTACTAAGATGGCTGCAAATTAAAAAAAAAAAAAGAGCAAACAAGTGTGGGCAAGGATGTGGAGAAATTGGAACCCTTGTATAATACATTGCTGATGGGGATGTGAAATGGTGCAGCCACTGTGGAAAACAGTTTGGCAGTTTTTTCAAAAAATTAAACATAGAGTTGCTATGTGACTCAGTCATTCCACTCCGAGGCATATACCCAAAAGAATTGAACACAGGGATTCAAACAAATACTTGTACATGAATGTTCATAGCAGAACTATTGACAGCAGCCAAAAGGTAAAACAACCCTTTTGGTGATATACATCACCTGATGAATGGATAAATAAAATATGTTATATCCAGACAATAGAATATTATTCAGCCATAAAAATAATCAATACTGATACTGCTACAACATGAGTGAACTTCAGAAACATCACGCTAAGTGAAAGAAGCCAGACATACAGTAGGCCACATATTGTATGATTCCATTTATATGAAATATCCAGAATTAGGTAAATCCATAGAGACGGAAAGATTAGTGGTTGCCAGGGGCTTAGGCAAGGGGAGGATGGGAAGTGACTGCTTAAAGAGCATAGGGCCTCCTTTGGGGTGATAAAAATGTGTTGGAACTAAACAGAGATGGTAGTTGCACACAACATTGTGAATGCACTAAATGCCACTAAATTATACACTTTGAAATTGTTAATTTTATGTTATCTGAATTGCACCTTGATTTATAAAAAAGAATGGAAAGTTAAATTTAAAAAAAATCATCATACTAAGTGGGAGAAATGAGTAGAATGTGGGGAGGATGCTATTTTAATGGTTCTTAAGTGTAAGAGTGGAACTTTCTTGGCTCTCTGGCCAAGACATTGCTAAGGAGCTGCCGTGCAACGGTGACATCCGTGATGCCACAGCCTGTGTGGGCAGCAGTAGGCCACCTGCACTGTGAAGTCTCAATAAAAAAATGGCCAAACCCTATAGGATCAGATTCTATCCAAGACTCGCTCTGCATCCAGGAAGGTGACAGTGTGGCCCTGTGGATGGAAACATGAAGGTCTTACCAGTCCTCAGTGACCACAAGCTTCTAAACCCAGAGGATGAGTTGGTCCGGGGACTCAGTTCAGCTCATGGGTGGATCTCTTCTCGGCCGTGTGACTGGAACCTGAGAGTGTTGCTCTTCACCCTTCCTGGCAAGATATTCTTTTCCCACCCTGGAGACTCAATGAAAATGCTTACGGGCTAAAAACAAGTGTGCAGGGGAGCAGAGTGAACATGACTTCCTTCTCCTTGAACCATTCACCTGCAAGCAGTTACGGGGTTCGAGGCAGGCGTCACTGGAAACGTGCAGTGGAATGCAGGCTGCTGGGGAGAGGCTGCCAATTCAGGTCACGCTGGCCAATTCTCATTCTGGTGAAACTGAAATAGCCGATAATAGGCAACCGAGGAATTATATGCAGCTGAATTTTTTTACAAGCATCCATGTGATCCATTTTTCTATTTCATGTTCATAAAAAGAACACGATGATATGTGCTTTTAATGGTCTGTATGATGCTACAGGCACTTAATTAAGACCAGTATTACTGCTAATGATTTGGGGAAGGAAATTTGCTGAATTTCTTTTTATCTAACTTTCCAAGAGGAAGTTAGACCAGCTGAATTCATGGACTTAAATTATTTTAAGAGAAGAAAATACAGTCAGAACATTTATTTATCTTATACAAAGAATTATTTTGGTTAAGTAGACTATTCTGCCTGGTATTTTTGTTCTTGGGGTGGCTGTGGAGAACACTGGTGATTTCACTTTGGGCTGGCCATTTTTGATGTCTCATGTAATTTGGGAAAAATGAATGATGTAAGTTTTTTTTTTTTTTTTAATAACAGTTTTCTCTTTTCCTCCTTCCAGGATGAAGTTTTCATCATTCTGGAAAGGGAAAAAAAAAGCAAACATTAATGAAGTGGCCAATAATATGAAGGGAATCATGGATCAGTTTCCTTTCGCTCCCTGTGGTGGATTTCACTTACAAGAAAATTGAAGCTGGCAAGACCCTGTTTTCTCTGCAATTTATTTAAAACCTTGCACGCATTTGGATACCTTGTGATTTCCAAGAACTATGTGAAGATTAAGCTTTGCTTACTGATACATGGCATGTATTCTTTTCAGTCTTTTGTGTTTGATTTTGTTTGATTTCCCTCTGCAGCGCAGCGTCTCTGTAAAGGTTTTTATGCTTTCACCAGCCATGTCTTAAATACATTAAGACAACACATTTGGTGTTCACACTTCTTCAGTAATGTCTGTACTTGAAAGCCACACAGTGGCATAAAACAATGTGTGTTTTCTTTGAGAGCAGTGCACATTTTGCAACCACCAGGAAGGAAACTTTTTGCTAAAGCAAGCCCCTGTCCTCTGACTTGACAGCTTGGTCCCTGATGGCAGGGGGGCCCCCACCTGTTGCTTACCTTTTGAGGACATTTGCAAATGTGGGGTTTTTTTCTTGGAAACAACCGCACTCATATAGGATATTGGATCTGCTTAGCATTTTCAGGCCACATAGCATGGCTGTTTTTTGAATAGGTTGAAAGTGAAGAAACAAATATCAGACATTAAGAACAAAGACAGGGATAAATTGCTTACTTTTCAACCTCTGGAAATGGAGGTAACTTTTTACATGTAGTCTGGGTCTTGTCAACATCTTATTTTTTTTTTTTCCATCCACTCTGTTTCACTTTGTAGTTTCTAAGTGGAGAAAGTGAGGAACAGAATGTTTCAAACTTGGGTGCAAAAGAATCATATCTGTTGGATGAGCCCTGAAAGCAACCTTGGCTTGATCCAGTTGAAAGTTTGCTCACTCACAACAAAAGCACCTTCAGAAAAATTACATTTTTTTAGAAAATTCCAAGCTGATTGGAAGACATCATTGGATTCCTTAAAGAGTCTCCTGGAATAGCTGTTCAAATGCAGGTTTTAGAAACAATGCAAGAATCTTGCTTTAAAGATGGAAAAAGGAAACTCCTTGTTTAAGGAGTTGAGGGGCCTTGGAGGATGAAGGTGAGCATGTGACATTGGGGAAAAGTGGCCGGGCCATGCACCCATGCACCGTGCTTTGTGCTGGAGGGAGAGCAGCCTGGGGCAGGCCCGCTCACAGGGGGGCAGGCCTCGCTGCAGAATCCCCTGTAACACTGCGGCCAAGGGGCAGTTAGGAAATTTCATCTAAAGCATGAAACCTAGCTCCTCTGGACACAAATTCCTATGGAAATACCTTTGTGTACATTGTTTTACATTTTCCTTATTAGTCAGAAAGGAGAGACTAAGAGCTTGACATGTGTCACACTTTTTTAGGATCAAGACCAGGAATTATGTGCCAGTTTGACAAGGACTTTCTCTGAGAGTAGGGTGAGAGAAAAACTTTTCTGTAGGCAAACCCAATACACCTAGGAAATTGGGCCCAGAATTCCTAAACTTTAAAATGGTACTATCTCTGGAGGGAGGTGTGAGTAGATATGTCAAGGTCATAATTCATCCTATCCAAATGTAGTGTTCCTTGTAAATTTATAAGTGCTAAATAAGCAAGGAGTTCCTTACTGATTGATTTTAAAGAGAGCAAAAGCCACCCAAGGTTAGAATGTTTACTGTTTGCTACCTAGAAATCTTTTTCATTCCTCTTTCATACATTCCAACCCACTGGAACTTTTTAGAGGTATTTTGATTTAAAGTATACTTAAATTAGGATTTCTTAAAGTAAATGTAGGGGGAAACCTTTACATGCTATCAAAAATGGACTTCCCGGTGATTTATTTTGAATCATTCATTTGGGGGGGAAGGCATGACTTTTGTATTTCACTAAGTTTAAATCAAGAGCAACTAATTAAATCTTGCTATTTAATAAGGTTTCTAACTTGAAAATTTGCAAATATTTAATGTTGAAAGACCTCAATTAGGGCTATTAGAGATATATGTCCCTTTTACAGGCAGCTTCTCTTGGGAAGTGAAATATAATGGTACTCAGTTGGGGGGAGAAATCTGTTTTATTACAGAGAAATACTTCTCAGAAGGTTAGGAGGTTTTGAGTTCCCCGTCTTTGCCATCCATACAAGATCCAAGGTTTGTTTCTCTCTCTCTCTCTCTCTCTCTCTCTCTCTCTCTCTCTCTCTCTCTCTCTCTCTCTCTCTCTCTCTCCTTCTCCATATATATATAAAATCTTTATCTCTCCCCTCTTTCCTCTCCTATTTGCAAGCACATTTTCCCTCCCCTTCTTTTTCTCTCCTACCCTCTCTGAGGGCAGTCATGAAAATCCATACATTCTGTATTCATTAGCAGATTTATTCTATTGAGAAAGCACTGGAATGTTTTGTGAGATTATTTTTATATGAAGGAATAGCTTGAATTCAAACAGCTGGCAAGAATAGTACGAATAACTTAACAAGGTGATTGTATCAACAGGACATCACTGCACACAGTATTCTGAAAGGAGATTTGAGATTTAATTTTCATTTTCTTAAAAGAACAGTTTGGTTGACTTAAAAATACAACATATATAGGACATAAAAAACGTTTGCGGCACTCAGCAGAAAATAGGGGACAGAAAGCAGGAGTGGCTGTCCATCCACTGATGCAAGGGTGAGAAGCTATTTCTACCTCCCAAGAGTGATTAGAAAAGTTTCTAGGGGAGCCTCCGGGCTTGCAGGGAAAGCAAGGCCTCTTGGTATCCTTTCCTCAGAGTGTATATGACAGCCAATATAATCAATACCCTAGGTTATGCATCTATATAAGATACTCATCTGTGAATATTATTGGTTTTGTAATCTTTGTTATATAAGAGGATGTTCAGGCTGTACATACTGGGGTAGATTATTGCCTGCCTCCTATACATAGGAATATGCTGCATAACTGCACATAACTTCCATCTCCTTTACTGGCTTGTAGGCAGAGAAAACTATATATGTTACTGCCTTGTAATTTTCTCATACACCAAAAAAAGAAGTAAAATAAAATTTTAAAAACACTTCAATAAAATAAGCAATCTCCTATGCTCATTCCTTTTCTCATAGCAGCATATTTTAGAGACATATACAAAATCTACATTCTCTAGCTGGGAGTGGATTTTTTATCTTTTTTTTTTTTCTTTTTTCATATGATGCACTGAGATGTGTACTTTCTAACAGGGGGTTGGTACCTAAGAAACGTGCTAGCATCATTCAGAAAACTATTATACTTCAAAATGAGATATAGCAAGGAGAATGGAATAATACATGTTGCATATTTGTTACCCATTGTAATTTGTCTGTATTATGAAAGATGTAATGGTTTGTCAGCTGTCACTGTTGTTTTCTTGTAACATGATATGGAATAAAGTATAGCAGAATCTCCATACATCTTCTTGGTACATCTTCTTGACAGGTACCCCACAAGACCATATACCATACCAAAGAAACATTGTCTTAAAAACTCTTCAACTGCAACCATTCTGAAAGGGAGAAATAAGATCCAAAATACACAATTTGTGGGAAGGAGTGAGTTAGCTGGAATGTTCCAGGAATCTGTTAAACCCTCTCCTTTCCTTGACTTGCTATGCTAAATATAAGGAGCAGGGGCCGTGCAAAACAAATCCTGAGCTACACAGGCTCTTCGCGATTCCCCTGGCTCCTTCCTGATGTTCACCACATGTTCTGTCTATCTCAGATGCATCTGGAGCCTTTCTGGTTTTGTTTAATGACAATACTATTTATCTTTTATTGGCTCCCTCTCTATTTTTTGCACATATTCTAGGATGAGGTGAGTTGATTACCCTCCACTTAACACAAACCAAAGCTTCAGCATGCAGACCTTCCGCCAGAAGTATGACTGTTCTCTTACTGCCCCGAACACCACTTAGGGGGTGTCTGCCTCTGAATGGGCAGAGTACTCTTGGGATCCCACGTTTGGATTGGCAGTGCCAACTTGAGTGGCCGGTCCCTTTTCCATCATTGCGTTTTCCTTCTTGTCAGATCTGTCATAACCCCAAACAAACCCCTCTGATTTGATAAATTGCTAATTTATTTAGATATAGTCATCAACTCATAGATAGAATATTTGGTGATTTTAAAGTGTTTATAAGCTCATTTCCCATTTAAAGAGGACCCAGGACTCCTGGCTTTCCCCCGGGGCAGACCCTTACCCACCAGAAGCAGTTCCAGTTTTCCTTCCCTTGATCTTCTCCTCTAATAACCTCTGTGACTTCACGGTTTGTAAGCCCTTCCCTCACAAAGGAACATCCAGACGAAACAAGATGTAAGTGCTCTCAGCTGATGCATATTCCACTCCAAAAAAGCTATGAGAGCCACCACTCTTCAGCCCCCAGCTGCTGCTTCTGCTGCCTATAAAGCAGTGAGCCACCTACGCCAAAGGCAAGTGAATTTTCAGTCACTGCCACCACCAGTGGATCCAGGGACAGAAGATTGCATAGAGGTAGACTTGCAGTAGCCAAACTAGGGATAATATGCAAATTTCTAGGTTGAATGGGAGCCATAAATTACCCTGGACACTGATTAGGATTATGGAAGTGTGAAAAGAATAACTTGTTCCAGGGAAGTGTTTTGAGGGAGCAAAGTGTTTGGCACCGTTCCACTTCCAAACAGCTATGCTAGCTCAGGTGCCCGTTGTTGAGGTCACGCCCGGCAGGCTCCTCCTCATGTTTTAGAGCTCGACTGTGCTCCTGAGTTGATTTAATCACGCAAGCTTTTAATAGAAGAAAGAAGGGGATGGAGGGTTGCTATCTACACGAGGCCAAAGAAACACATTTGAGAAAGAATTTTTAAGTTTTAAAATGTGGCGGTGGACATCCTCTCGGTTCCATAATTGCCCACCGTTCCCGTCTTTTGCAGCGGAGGCTGCTCCGGCTCCGCCAGGTTGCAGGACGCGGCGTGTGCTGGCCGAGGCAGCGGTGAGAGTCAGGAGGGCGGCACTCCTATAGTTGCCGTTGGCCTCCAGAGTAAAGAGAAACCAGAGGGGAAGGTGTTGGAGCAACCTTGTGCCACTGGGTTAACACGTACAGTCGCTGAATAATGGCGGGCATTGTAAATCTCTGCAATGAGAACCCCACAGTGGCCCAGCAGCCTGCTGCTACCAGTGGGTGGTGGCGTTATGGGCATTAGCGTTGAGAAGCTTATATAGCAGAGGGGGCTAGGATAAAGGACACAAATCAGGGAAAAACTGACAAGATTAAAAAAAAAAAATCTAAGGCCTCGTATTTACTGTTCATCCCCCATGCTCTCGGTGTGCTATATTGTCTGCGTTGAGTCATGCTGAGAGAGAGCCAGGCACAATAATAGCTCAGAGCAGCCGAGCAGCCCCCGAGCCATCCTCTGCCAATGGTGCTGACTGTGCTAGTGGAGAATGGGATTCTGATAGAGTTGTCTTTTTTCTTCTTCCCTGCGAGACCGCCAATAATTATGGAGGGCATGCTGCAAAGATATGGGGTAAGGGTTCCCTGTTGGGGTGTATCCTGAAAAGTGACCCTGCAGGGGTCCCTGCAAAGGTATGTGCTGCGCAGCCCGAGGTGTGCCTGCCTGTCAGCTGCAGACAACGCTGGGGAAGTCCAGAAACACATGTTTGAAACAGCGGTTCGAGGCTTTAGAGACGTTAAAATGAAACTTAGTTTTTATAAATCATGTTGCAGTGAGAAACAATGATTTGTTCCCCCCTCTCCATCTTCTTCGGCCAAATCTAGTAACTAGGTACCTTGCTTCCTGAAAGAAAGGCTGTAATCCACTAAGATCCCTGGGGAAAGCAGGCACAAGTCCTGCAACCACCTTCCCTAACATTTGAGGAACTCAGACCCTCCTGTATCCTTTCCCCTAGCCCACTGGGTCTCAGCCCTGACCCTCACTGGAATCACAAGGAAGTTTATAAAACACCTCCACCCCACACCAATTCATTCAAGAAATATTGAGGGTGGGGTCCTGGCACTGGTCTGTTTTGAAAGATCAACAGATGATTCTTTTGGGCAGTGAGAACTGCTAGACTAGTCCTTTCCTCCTGCCTCCTGCCTGCTAGACTATTTCTTTCCTCCAGCGACTTCAGGCTGAGGGCCAGCACACTTTTCCAGTAAGGGCAAATTAGGGAGTACTTTACACTTTTGAGACCATACAACCTCTGCCCCAACTACTCCCTTTGCTGCTGTAGTGTGAAAACAGCCATGCACAATACACACACGAATGAACTCGGATGTGTTCCAATAAAACAACGTGTGGACACTGGAATTTGGGGTTCATATAATTTTCACATGCCATGTAACATTGTTTTTCTTTTGAGTTTTAAGAACTATTTTAAAATGTAAAAACCATTCTTAGCTCACAGGCCACATGAAAATGTAGTGGGCAGGCATTAGCCTGGGGTCTGTAGTTTGCTTACTTTGGGTTACGATACAGCCCTGGTAAGGGGGAAAGCAAGGGCCACCCCTAACATCCGCAGGGCCTAGGATAAAAGTAAAAACGAAGGCTCACATTCCACATATCTAAATATTTTAAAATATAAATCTAACTAACAAGATGTTAAATATATTCTACTTTCCCACCTTCACAAATAGGAGGCCAGATTTACAGTTAGAATTCTTGGACTCCTCAAAGTTCTTCACTGAGAAGTGGCATTTTAGAGAGAGCCATCCTAGCTCAAGACTTCCCACCTCCTACCTGGACGGATCCACAATTCGAGTGGCTGCACATGCATGTGTGTGGACGCCGCATCCCCCACACCCACCCTCCGTCCATACCTTCGGCAAACGGCCCCTCCTTGGCCGGCCCTTGGGGATGAGGTGCATGGCCTCAGGGAGGGTGGTCTCAGCGAAGACTCCTTTGCTGCTAAGACTGCAGGGTCCTGCGCATCTGGAGTATGTGGAGCAGAAGTAGGGGGATCGGTTCCTGCCAGGCATAGCACTGTGGATCCCTCAGGCTGTGGGCGAGCGCTATCCCTGCAGAGGGTCAGAGCTGGGCCCTTTCAGCATGGGAACCAAAACAGGGGCCCCTCTTGCCTGAGTCTACCTGCCCTACCCATGAGTGGTAGGAGCCTAAGAATTAGCTCCAGTGAGTTTTCAGGTCCCTTATGTGTTTCTTTGGCCCATTCGACTCCATACTCATAGAAACAGTCCTCATCACGATGTGAGTGTGAGGCCAAACCATCCTAAGGACAAGGGAGAAATTTTTTTCAGAACATCTCTTGGAATGCAAGGATCTGGACTCCTGTCAGTCACATACTGGAACAAGCTGCTGCCAGTTCACAAGAAAACCAATTGTTAAATAAATATTTAGGAATTCTGTAAGCCAGTCCTTAAATCATTGATAACTTGAAATCAGATGGAAATATTTACACCATAGAAATTGGCAAACTCTACAAATCTTTTTATTTTTTCCTTTTGAGGAATAGTTTCCATCATATCACTGTCTCTTGACCTCTTTCAGCCTCAGGTTTCATCCCTCCGTGTGCACATCCTCTCCCTGCACCATGATGAACTTCTTACTGATCCCTGGATATTCCGGAATTCGTGCCGCTGCTCTTTTGCATACACTGTCCTCTCTGATTGGAATGCCCTTTCCCATTTTTTGAGCAGATAAATTCCTATTGATCCTTTTAAGACCCTTTTCAAAAACTAAGTCTGTTGCAAAACATTCCAGAACTCCCCGGCAAAACAGTTTCTCCTTCTTCCATGTCCCCACATCACTTTGAAAATAGTAATGTAGAAATCTTGTTTTCATCTGGACATCATATAGGCAGGGCTCAGAGCTCCAAAGCACATGTACCAAGAGAACAAGACAGCCAGGTGGAAACTGTATTGCTTTTTATAAAGTAGCATTCTATGTGTTAGCCATGAGTTACTAAGGCCAGCCTATATTTAACAGAAAGAGAATTAGACTCCACCTTTTGGTGAAGGAATGTCAAAGAATTATGGGCATGTTTTCAATCAGTAGCAGTCTGTCCTCCGGCACAAGTTACTAACATTGATCCCACATGGAAAATACACTCAACCCCTTCCTAAGACCCCCACATATCTCACCGGTTATGGCACCAATCTCAGGCTCAAGGGCCAGTAGCGCGTCATCTAAATCAGGTTCAGGTGTTGCAGATGAGGGCCCTCAGGTGCAGATCCTCACTCATTTACAGATTGAGTACTGTTCCTGATCTAAAGATCTGTGAACTAAAGCAACAAGTTATTTGCCCCCCTCACCAACATACTTTGGTGAGATAGGCATGGTGCAGCCACCAGATCCTTTACGAAAACGGGGTGCATGTGGTAGTCAGTAGTCTGTGGCAATTCTGACATCTAGCCAGCATATGTTGCCAGTTCCTTGATTAGAGCTCAGTAAATTCCCTCAGAATGATTGTCTGTGGCTCTGTGG